TTGTAGGCAAACAAGCACGCCACTGAAATGTGTGGGGAAGAAGAGGAATAGCCCCACACATTCTTAACATCTGCACTAGATGTAGATAGGTAACTGGAAAACTTGTTCGACAGGAATAGACACCTCCCAAGACCTGTGGTTGCAAAACAGAAGCCAGTTATTGCTACAACATTTCAAAAACTACGTAGCAAATAATTATTGAACAAAATTATCTCCTCTTTCCAATCACAGATGTATTCCTGTTACAGAGATAAACGTTCTGTTAATTACATGAAACGTCCACTTATCTTAGGAAGAGATTAGATTTAGACATTATTTATACTATGATTAAAAATATTTAGTCTTCCTCACTGATTTCTGAGAACTTGAGGATTTATATTTGTGCCTGACATTACGCGAAGAACATAGACTGATTGTCTTTGAGAACTAAGTATTGAGGAAAATACTGGGAACCAAGATAGGGGGAACAACTGGAGAAAAAACTAAAGAACAACAAAAAGCTTTATATATAAAGTGAAACCCTCGCGGCAACTGAAGTTGACGAAAGAATCTCGGGTTACAAGCCGCGTCAGATGGCTGAATGGTGAATAAACCATATCTCTTGCCTATGTTTCGATAGCAAATCTCTGCTCTCATCCTCAGGGCTACTCAGTTTCCATCGGTGAGCGTGCTACAAAGAACCATATTTGTTACACAGCAGCCGTGAGGATGAGAGCAAAGATTGCTCTCTAAACGTTCTTTACCATTCGGTCACCTGACGCGGCTTTTAGCCCGAGAGTCTTTCATCAAGAAGCCTCACAGTTTTAATATATTTATAACTAACCTCTTATTCGTAAGATAATGTTAGGAAGGATAAAATAAAGAGTTTAACAATAGAAAATGTTGGTTAGGTTAGGGCCGCCATATAACTAAAATATGATAAATGTGAATGGAATGAAGGCGACTGTAAAAAATAATGTTGCATCTGATGATGGAGGCAGCAAGTACATCTGAAACGTCGGTCAGTTTCTACGAGACTACACGGCACAACATTTCAGAAGACAGTCATCTTCATAATTCACACTGCTAGAACCTGAGATCTGGACCGAAAGAAATGCTTTACTTGTAACACAACTGCTTAAGTCTGACTAGCAGTTTACCTTCAGACCACTGAAATGTAAGGAATATAAGATTTTTTGACGTAAAAACGTCTTTAAAATCGATGCCAGGTGTGGGGAGGCAATCGCACCCAAATGAGCGACAGTTTCTGTCGAAGTAAATTCAAACTTTAATAACTCGGCTAAAAATAGACATAACGCCGCCATCTTAGTCTCATTTTAAAGGGGAAGAATGAATGTTTGTGCCAGTACTGCTCCGACATTCCTGGCGGCCGGATGTCGCGAACTGCGCACGCGCAAACTGAACGCACGATTTTCGACTTTCAGGATTCGACATGTGTCCATAAACGGGATCATATCTCAGAGACTAAATATCCGATCCGAGTGAACCAAGTGTTGTTTTTAAGAGGAGTGTATATCGTACAACTCATCCTGGCCTCCAAGTATGTATCTCAAAAACACAAAAAGATACGAGGCTGTGAATTTGAAAAAGTTTGAAAATTTCCCGATTTTCTTAAAATGTCGCGATGTATGAGAGCAAAGTAAACCCAGAATTACAAAAATCGGGAACGAATGCGTAGAGCACAAAATTCCAAAGAGAATGACACCGAAAATGCCAAGACCGGACCCAAAACCAACGCGCAGTGCTGCCGCGAATATAGGCAACGTAAGCGCGCTCGGACAACTCAGGCGGCATCTGACGAGCCTGGGTAAAGTATGGATGTGTACCAATTAAGAAATAATCATTATAAAAATGATTATATTTACAATATCCCTAAGTTAAACTGTTAATTATTAACTAATATTTTCGTTAAGAAAAAATAATATAAAAACATTTATGAATTTTATTTAATTTCAATATACTATATACGATTGACGTTTTCATGAAAATAACTGCGGCAGTGTTCGACACTGCCTATCAATCTTTTTTTGTTACATGACACAACAGCGGCATGAAATGTATTATAAAAATACCTTACCAATGCTTTGCGATCTTTGCATATTTAATTGCATTTAAGCACAATATGTCTTCTAGATTAAGATTTACCACTGGAATGCATAGAAAATGTTATGTGTGTGAGGGGGGGTATTTTCCTTTTACATTTTATCCGTTGTCTCTTACGCAACAAAAACACAATATTTTTGAAATGGGTTATATATCCATATTTTGCAAACCGGGTAAAAAGGAAACCTTGTTCTATTGGGTCCTTCTGTTGAGCTTGTCTCAGCTCTAGATCTAGCTTTGTAGAGAGATCAAACAGACTTGAGTTTTATTCTTATCCGATCACCTGAAGAATAAATAGAACCCATTTTCGAAACGACGAGGTGTTAATACATAAAAGACAAGCGATGAAGTCCCCAGCTCAAAAAATAAAAGATTACCATACACACGCACAGTGTTACACCCGTCAAACACCAAACTTCAAACTGCAGGAACTATCTCTTGCTCAAACATCTGAGAAACCCACCTATATTTATAAAACCCGATATTTGATTGCCGATTTCACTGATGAAACTTATATAACCCGGAAAAAAATTAGTGTAAATGTCCATACAACATTTTCATCGAAATCCATTCATCAGCTTTAGAGATGAGACATACAGACAGATAGAGACAAATTCCCAAGTAAGTACACTTTTTATGACAAATTATCGCAAATAAAATAACCAATTATCCATGACTAATGTTCACCAGCAAATTGGCATTATATTGCATCAAAATTTCCTAGATAGAAAATGTTACAAAATATATTGTAATATTTTACAATACCGACATTAATTATAATTGTTGTAATCCTCACTTCAATTTCACTTAAATATAAACTTCATTACAATAATGTAATTTTTTATTTTAATTATAGTCTTATATGTTACAGTAGAAAACCGATTTTTTTTGCCCGTTCTTACCAGTAAACTTAAAACC